GATATACTAATTCGATTCCGAGCTCTACGGTCATTAATATGTTAAATTGACGGTGCATAAACGAAAAAAATCACTTCTTTATAAAAGAAATCTTTTAATATTTAAATTTATACAAATGTAGATTTAAATTTTCTGATTAATGGAAAAGTTAATGTCTGATGTTTTGTAAGTTGCGGGAATAAATTTGTAAATGGATAATAAAATCTTTCTTGATTTTGAACAAATTCTATGTAGACTCTACTTTGACAGAAATTTTGAGATAATCGCGGGTAGTCACGCACAATTTAGAATTAAAAATTGAAAATTTTTGCTTTATATAAAAAGCTTATTACTTTCAAGATATTGTAAAACCAATTTTATATATCTAGCAAAATTAATTCGAATAATGATTTTGATAAAAATCGAGCGAGAAGCTATCGTCACTTCCGTATGCATATTTTTGTTTTAAAATTTTCGCAGTACTCCATTATTTTTCTTCCTGCCGAACGTGTTATATTTCGAGGATGTATCGGATTTGGCCGAGCTCTGTTTCAGGGTAGAATTATTCATCGCTGTGAATCAAGAATAATTAAGTGAAAGTTAACCCAGCAGCGCGAAATTAGTAAAAATTGTGTCGCAGGCACCGAATTGACGACGGTAGCAATAGATTTCCGATTTCTGATAAAACTCCGTAAGAAGTCCGTAAGAAATGGGTCAAAATAACTTTGAAAGGAAACAGAAAAGGAAACTACGTGACGTATCTTCATCAATGCCATTCAGCAATTTTCTTTAGTTGTTAGCTTGACCTAGAAGTCATGTACCATCAGGTAAATTATAGATTTTTGTCGAGTTTCGAGTTAATTTTTTCTTCTTTTCATTGAAGGCCGCTTCGTCATTTCATCGCTTTATTGTTTTACACAAGCTTTTAACTCGCGACATTAAATGTCCAACATCATATACCTAAGCACCAAAATAAAACTTTATTATAATATTATAATGAAGTTCATCTTAAATTAGTTTGAAGGTAAGCAAATTGTATATAACAATTAATTTTATATACATAATTAATAACGATTAGCGTAGATAGAAATAAAAGTTTTCTAAATTGTCGTTTTTTTACTAAATAAAATTTAAATTAAAAAATTTTTATTTTTTAATCCGAAATTTATATCAAAATCTTCGCGAATACCATGATAAACATATATAAATATTATAAGACGAGACCGACTACTTAATAATGTAGATTACATTTTCTTTCTGAAACACAGAGTTCTTGGATTTCATGACAGATAATAGCGAGGCGATATTCGGGTCGTTTCTTCCGTATACCTTTCTTGCCGAATTGTCAATTTGCGTATGTACACAGTAGACAGACGATGGAAATGTCGCGGATCAAGTATCGCGCACGTGATCCACCTACGATGCGCCTAAACTAGATATTGAAAGCTTGCGGCTTCACTCGGCATTCGGTGCGAGACAATTACATTAACAGTATCCTCATCTATATTTAGTTGGAAAAATGTTTGCCTTTCTTGGGGGGGAGACGCACATATAATCGAAACGTCCCGGAGGTTTTAGAAAGCGATTTATTTTATACCAACCCAAGTTACTTTCCCTCCTTTTAAGAGAAAGGATTTTGTGATCATTTTTCTCGGATAATTTGTGTAAATTTTCCTCCTTCATCATTTAACCCATTTTAAATGCGTCTCAGTCAATATCTGAAATATGCATTTGTCTCTCTCCAAAATACTCGATAATTTTTATATTCGTCCCAGAATCTATCGTTGCAAATATCGCAAATCGATGGAATAAATAATTAATTAAACTGCAATAATAATATGGAGACATTTCAATACGTTTCAATTTCGGAATCGTTTTACAGACCTCAATAGCAGCACACAAAAATCAACATGCGACGTTATCTTTCCCACTATATGGAAATTATGAGGCGCGTTTTTGCGATCCGGTATACACAACGGTTGTATATATCATACAACGGAAAATGCTGACGGGAGTATATCAACAGAATTACCGCAAACTAGTTTACCATACTCGTGTCATAGAGAAGCGGTCGGGGTGGAATCTGATAATGATGATGATACCGGCCGATCTGGAAAAAAAAACCGTAGGATTTTCCTCGCCGCGGAGATCGCGACGCCAAAAAAAGCGCAATAACTCTTTAAGGGTAGCGAAGCGTTGCATCCGATAAATAATGCTTTTCCATTCTTGCCGAATGTTCTATTCTCTCGAACCCGCGCTTCGTGATATTAAAGATACATTAACTCGCCCGGTGAACCGGTAGTTTTTGCTCTGGTTGCGACGGGAATAGCGCGAAAGAAATATGACGCTCGCTTCTTTTCATTTTGAAAAAGCGAGCGTAAGAGGAGAGCAATAACAACTCGCCGGTCGTTCAAGAAAGATTCATTGCTCTCCCGTATAAAGAAACTAACGAGCTTACTGAGGCTTAAAAGGTCTTTCTTCTTGGTCACGCTGATGTCGGTATTGAACTGGTACTCGAGCACTGTGGATAAACGGATACAAACCGTGTCCGTTACGATGATTTACGAGTGCAAAGTTTAATTGAAATTATGTTAACGTAATTCTTATATGTTGCAGTATTTTGTCGTCTGTAATCTTGAAAGAGAAATCTTCTAACAATTGTCTTCGTAATTAAATCTCCAGAGGAGTTCTCTTTGTAGTACAAGAACATTTTATAATTTTATTTTACATCCAATAGCTTATACGGAAAAAGAAAAATTGAAATATTATACACTATATTAATTTCATTACGCGTCTCTCTTATCATTTTATTCTAGAAGTAATAACTGTATTACTTTTAGAAAGGATTAGTTAACGTTGGAATTTAATGGAATGTATTTTGTATCTCTTGGAAAAAAAGGATTTTGGAGTAGTATTTTTTATAAAATTAACTCACACTATCAACGTCATATTTTTATAGAACAAAAATTGAAAGAATATTTACAGTATATATTTAGTGATATATATTCATACCAATCATACTACTATATAAAGGGAATTTAACAAGATTAATGAAGTTTGAGGTTTTTCTTTCTGCCTGTGTTGACGCTGCTATTGACCCGCTACTTCAGCATCATAAATAAAATTCAGTACGCTCGTGCGCGTACACTCTATTACAAATTATGATCAAGCGTGTAATGGAAGTTGCATTAATACGATTTTTACGTTATTCCGATGGACAAATTGCTAAAGTTTTCTCTTGCCAGATCAAACGAGAATCTTACGAGAAAAATATAAAGGTTTGTTTATCTTTCTGCCGCGGTAATTTTCGCTTTGCTGAAAAATTCAAAGAATAAATCATAAAACTAATAGCCAGATCTCTTTTTTTTTTTTTGTTCAATTGCCAAGCCGAATTCGTATTTATTAACCTTAAAACTATGAACTTGCAAATTGCATCTTTCATTTACAATAATACGGCAAATTCTGCGTGAAATGCGGGACTGTAATTTTCATCTAACAATTCTCTTTGTTTCAGATCGCTACAGGATTCCAGGATGACGCACAGGACGAAGGATCCTCGGATACAGACATTGCACGAGAGGTAAGTACCATTCTCTTTATGCGCATCCCTTTTTAGAGATTACTTGTTGTAAATGTTGTACAATACACGCTTTATCTTTGTGATTGTTTAAACGATCTTGATCAAAAGATTAAGATGTTATCGAAGGTGCGAACATTGCATACCGACATATTAAGCGAGCATTACCGACAATTAAGTTCACATTTCACGTCTGATAGCTCAATAACGTGAGGCGTTCTCACCGACTGGCGCCCAGCGCGAAAGGTCTGAATATAAAATACTTCGAGAGCTCTGGAGAGTCGTTCGATAAAATTCCGAACATTTTGCGAAATATGTAGATTCAAAGTTTTTTTTTCCTCAATGAATGTGAGTCTCGCCAATAGCGAAGGGAAACTGAAAGAGGGAGTAATTGAAGGAATCCAACGTGTTGTGACCCACATAATCTCCCGACAGATCCAACAGGGGTTCCTTACTTGAGAACAGGTCACGAATAGTCGCGGTCGATCGATTTTTAATATATAAATAGATGTGCAGCGCACGGACACACGCGCGCGAATTCGCTTAATCTTTTCCGTTGCCCTCCTCGCGCCGAACCTTCTCGCTTCTCTTCCTTGTTTTCTCTCACTTTATATCTCCTCCTGGTGAGATCCCCCCCATCTCTCTCTCTTTCTCATCGCCACTTTACTCTTTCAGTACCGCCGACCTCTCGCACCATCCACCCTCTTGTCTCTCTCGCAATTCTTTCCTCCACCTCTGTTTTAAGTCCCTTTCGTCTGCTCCGCGCACACACGTACAATTCTCCTTCCTCCCTAACCCGACAGATTCTCTTTTCTTCTTTCGTATTCCTTTTTTACTGTCATGCACCTACCGTTTTCCCGCCACCTTTGTTTCACTCGCTTTACGGTCGAAGAAATTTATTTACAGAAACGAAAGTCGCGCACGTTCGCCTGATATTTGCTCTCGGGCTCCTGGCAACACTCGGCGATATAAACTGGAAATACGCGATGGTTGAAATTGCATCGCGCGGCGTCGTGTTATAACGATCCTCGCTCGCGTGGTCCTTTAACATTTCCGAGGCTTTGTGAATTTAAGATATGACTATGATAAGTTGGCAGCTATTATACCTAACTGAAATCGCGCTCTGGTTTCGCTGAAGCTCAATATGTAAAATTTCTTTTATAGTTTAAAGAAATTAACACTGAATAACTCTCACAAGGGACATGTTACAACTAAACCGATTTAATTTCTTTTAAATATGTTAAGCATAAAAATTTAAGAAAAAAAACATTTTAAAAAGAATCAAATCGGTTCCAGGCAGTTGTAACGGTCCTCCGTCAATCTATATTGCAAATATATTAGACGATTTAAAAAGTAAACTATTATCTGTAGATAATTTCATTCGACGATGAGTTAAAGATGAAGAAATAAAGATGGGAATATATCCACGAGATTGCAAACTCACCTCGTCGTAGATGAAATTGTCGATCTCTTCCAATGGCCTGCCATAGAGATCGTTCGGGAACGGTTCGAATTTGTTTGGCAGGCGCGCGCCATCCTCCACCGACATCTTTCTCTTCGGTTGAAAACCATATTCGCGCACTAATTGCACACTCTTGTTCTCCAATCTGCTTTCCTTCGTGAACGGCTTGACCGTTTGCTTGCCGCCCTTGCTGCCGGGGGTTCTCGCACCGGACGACCTGCCCTCGAGCTTGGATTCTCTGGTGTCGGGAACGTCGCCCGACGCGGCCTGCGGCGTCACGACGTCCGCCTGAATCTCCGCGCTTCCGGAATCGCCGGTGCCGGAATCGGCGGAGGTACCGGCGGTTCCGGCCAACGGTGGCCGCAGTCTCGTGCTGTCCTGCGTTCTGGAACCAACTCTCTTCATCGGCGGGGATTCGCTCTTCTTGGACTCCGGTGAGGTCAGCTTTTCCGTCCCCGACGGACTCGTGACTCCATCCGCCTTGTCGACGTCGACGTCAGCGCGCGTATCCGACGATTTAGCGACCGCTTGCGGATACTCCTTGCTCTCTTCCGACAACGGCGAGCTCGGACGTTCGTACGGCGACGAACTTGGACGTTCTTCGTCATCGACTTGGTAGACTCTCGTCGCAGTCTTGGGGCAAATCTTCGATGGCCGCGTACTCGGCTCCTCGTACTCGGTATACTTAGGCGGACTTAGACCCGAGTACGGTGGCGGCGATTGCCCCTGGTCCCCGCTGGGTCCCGTCGACGAAGAGATGCGGGGCGAGGGTGCTTCGGGGCGTCTCGGAACTTCCCCGAAACGGCGCGGCCCAGCCGCTACCCTGGAATCCTCGCCGGCAATCCGCACGTCGACGGAACTTCCTCTGGGCGATGCACTTACGCTAGTTCGTACGAACGATTCTCTCGAGCCGGCAGGAAACTCGGAGGACCCACGGGCAGACGACCTCTCCGGCGAAGCCTGCACAGGACGATCCTCCGGTCGCCTCGACCAACCTCTTTCCATCGGGAGCGAGCCATGATGTTCCCTCCGTGCTAAATCCGATAATCCGGCAGATTCTCGATATCTGCCTGCGACGCCGGATCTTCTGAATGGCTGGGGTGTTCTGGAAGTCGCTCCTCTGAGGTAATCGTCCGAGTCCCTGCTGCTTCCCGGAATATCGAGGCTCCTCTGACTACCGCCGTCTCTCGGTCGGTCGTTCGGATTCCCGGTGGGCCCGTAAATTCCCTCCTTGGCCAACTCATCCAACTCCTCTCTGCTCAAGTTCTTCACGTAGAGCCCGGCCACCCGGGGTCGGTTCGTGAAGCCATTGTCCTCCGAACCGCTGCTCGGAGGGCTGGGAGGACTTTTATACCCCTCGCTCCCGCCCCGCCGAGATGTCATTGGGACCTTTGCTCGATCATCCCTTTCGATCCTGTACCACTTTCGTCGGCCTCATGCTATCGCTAGATCGCCTTCGGTGCTCTATTGCTGCCGATCGATATCCACCACGCTGTTATTGATTGACCAACCAGCAGGATTTTGAAACGCAAGGGATTACGCGATATATCGTGCCAACCAACGCTTCCGGGCTGCCGATTTGTCTTTACTTATCTCGTCGATTTGTACGACGCTTCGATCACTGCGATTGCATCTGGGCTATTTCGGAGCGCTGGCTCAACTTCTGCCGCAACGCCAACGAAAGCTCGCGTGAGACATTTTTTTCAAACTGTACTTCACGTTCGATTACACCTTCGTCAATTAACACTCGTGAAATATTTTTTTGAATACAGAAATCGTGTTTTTTTTTTTCAAACGTGTAGAATCACGCGAGCCGCAAGGTTGGAAGTTCACAATATAAAAGATAGCAGCTTCGTAGATTCATATATCGATGCACTGTGCTGCAAAACTCCACACTACGCGATGGTTTATTTTTCCGGTATCTTAGCTTAGGGTGACTTGCTAAGATTACAGATAAGTAGGCAATATCCGATACATTTATTATTGACGACCAATAGCGGAAGAACGCCGGAGAGCGTTCGCGTGTGATGGATGACGGCGGGGACTTCTTGACCTGCTCGCAACCTGCTGTTTCCTGCACTTTGAAGTTTCTAGTGATTCCGCTTGAAAACAACGACGCGTGTCATTGCGTGTCTTGACAGATCACGACGATAAAGCGCGTGCAAGGCACGGATTCGACGGTGTCTTTCGAGCCTCTCGAAATCACAGAGAAGGTTCGATCGGATCAGCCCCCTCAAGTTATACCGTCGCTCAACGAGCCTCTACCCTCGCCGCATCGTCGAGAGCGGTTTACACATACTCGCGTGGTATACTCCTCGTGTCGTGTCGCGACTTTAAGAGGTCAAGGAGTCCGTGCCTGCACATAGCTCACTCCGAATGTCGACGGCTGCCGAGTGTCATGGTACTACCTGCTATAAGCGATCGACCAGCCCGCGGAGCTCTCCGAGCCGTTTCGCCGACAGTCCGGGTGAATTTAATCGTAAATATATGCGTGTGGTAGCGAGTGAAAGTCGACCACGTGAGCCCTCGCGACTCGCGCCGTCATCGATCATCAACTACGTCACTGTGGCACGTAAACCGTCATGTAAATCGTATATTGCCAGCGTGTCGTATGTCGTGGACGAGAGCGTCCTGCGAATCGATCGCGGTCCCTCGATCGATGGCTTGATCAACAGTTCGGAAGCGCGGAAACGCGTCCCTGATGGGTTCTTATTCCTGGTCGTTCGCGGGTTCTCGTTTTTACTTCCGTTTCGCGCGAGGGTGAAATTTGAATACGAGTGCACGTCGGAAACACACGAGACGTCGTCGTCTGGCCAGTCGATCACCCCGATCCTCTCAACGTTCGTTCGCGTACCGGCGGGATCGCGCGAGGAGGACCCCGAGGGCAAACGGTCGGCGACTAAGCGGCCAGGACGCGATTAGTTAAGCTGTTCGTGTACACCGGCCGAACTGGGAGGGAAGGCGCGTCCGCCCACACACAATCGCGCTCTCGCAGAACAGCGTGGTCGGCTCGTATCAGCGTACCACTATCATCACCAGCACCCACCACCACGAGGCGTCGGGAACGGCGGCGAGACCAAACGCGGTCGACTCCGCGGTATCCCCCACGGTCAGCACTCACTCGTCACTCGTCATCCGGCGAGGTACGGCGGTCGTCGCGACACGAATGATAACGGCCGGGCGAGGGGTACACATCGACGGTGAAGACGCGAAGAGAAAAGCCGGAAGCGATAAAGAGGGACAGTCCGCGGTGAAGAGAGAAGACGTTCGAGAGAAGAGGGAAGGATCGAGCGAGAGAAAGATAGAAGGACAGAGATAGGGGGAAAGAAAGAAAGAGAAAAGAGAGAGAGAAAAAGAGAGAGAGAGCCGTGGTGCACCCTCGTCGTATAGTCCGGTAAATTCTGCTCGAGCGGGGGTGCAAAATCACGGGCGTCTCTTCCGAGAGCTGTGGCGGCACTGTCGGCACCGAACCCCCATCGGTACCGTGCGCGCGCGCGCGTATCGAACCACCCCGAGCCGGAGAACCCCGCCGGCCGCACGGAATCTTCGTCGACGTAGACCCGCGTACGTATACGTATACAGGTAAACGCTGGGGCCTCGAGGCACATACACGCGCGAGAACGCGGTGAGAGAACGAGGGCGGGGGGGGGGGGGGGGTGGCAAGGGACGGTCGCGGAAATGGTGATGGTGTTAGTGGTCGCTACTGCTGGTGCTGGTGCTGGTGTGGTGGTGACGGCGGCGATGGTCGTGGGGGGTACCGCGTACCTGCACCTGCACGAACACCCACTGCTGCCGCTGACGCTAACCCCCACCCCGTGGATTCACAACGAGCGCAGCCAACCCCCCTGCAAGTGGTGGCGGTGACGGTGGTGGCGGTCGGCGGTGGTGGAGGTCGTCGTGGCGAGTGGCGAGCAGGATACGGCAAACAGGCGGACCGACCGGGCGAACGGTACCCCCGTTCCGCAGGACACGCGCTGTAATTAATCCGCGCCAATCGACACCAGATTCCGCCGGATGCGAGAGCAGCGGGTTAATGCGCGAAAACGGTGAAAACGGCACTCTCTTCTGCCGCGGGCGACACATAATTCTCGTCCTTATACGCGATTATCATTCTTACGGGTATAACGCAGGGATTTCGTGATAACGACGAACGCTATCGAGCGGCGAACGCTATCGGGCATAACGGATTTTCCGTTAGCGAAATCGGTAGAATCAACGATTTAGCTGGCGGCTGTGGTGATCGGCTTGCGGGCGATTAAGTTTAAGCGGCCCTCTTATCACGAAGCGTATACCAAGCAAATCGTGACATGGATTCTTCGCGGCGTAACATGATAACGTTATCAAGATTTTCGAGTAAATTTCTTCTTATAAATTATGAAAGCCGCGGTACTTTGAACTAAAAGTTCGTCGCCTCAACTTTCTCGTGGTATAAATTTAAGCAGGATTCTTATTATACACACCGATAATGAAGATAAGAGCAACTTTTCATTGTGCAACGTCGTCGATTTCTTATCTAACACAATGTATAATATAAGGGTCGAGCATCAAGGTGAAAATTTCGGCATAAAGACTTTATAGACTTTTACTTACGGCAATCTAACAATCTAAGTAGTTACAAATCTTATTATAAGCTGTGCACCGAGAAAATCAGAGAACGTTTACTTTTTCAACTTTACATAATAGCCGTAATAAAACCTCAGATAAAGTGGGATTTAGTAACCATGATTAATTTAAGTGACGTTGTTACGTCGACATTATTACGATTTTATCTCGACGGAAAGTTGAATAGGAGTATAATTAAATAAAGTACGTCAGTACATTAGTGAAGCGTATATCATTATGCCGCAATATAAAAGCATCGTCAATGTAACGGACTTTTATGGAATCTGTTACATTGTAAAACGTAAAAACTCTAGAAATAGAGATGCGAAACTTAATAAATTGTAGAAAAAGAAATCCTTAGCAGAAACTCAAGCAGACGCATGATTATCAAATTAGTAAATAAAATTAAATGTTCGAAGATCTTTATTAATTAAGCTTTTGGAAGGCGTTACTAATTAACGTTAATGCTCGGTGTGTGTTGTTAATTATTTGAAATTTAATGAAAATTATAGGATTTTAAGGAGATGAACTCATGTTCAAGTTTTTTTGAAAATATATTTCCTCTATCAATATCCATATTTTAACGGCGACCCAATAATCGATGTTAAAAGTATCAAGTACCCCTAATTTGTTATGATTAATCAAGATGAAGAATACAGACGATCTCTAGGTTTTCTTTTCCCCTTTTGGGAACTGTATTTTTCTCTTTTATTAAATGATTATCCTTCCCTTGAATTAAAACGGAGATAATCGTTCCGCGGAGTATAAATCCGACGGCTAAAGTGACATTAATAGGTGAAGTATGACCTATGCAGGGAGAATCTTAAGCACGCCGATAATATATGAGACGTTATTTTGCACTGGCCTCCACCTGGTCTCTCAAGCTAAACGTGATTTTCCCATCTAGTCGGATTTCCGTTGTCCAACGGTATATAATTCAGGGCGGAAAATCCATGTCGCATATTTCATTATTGCGATATTAGCGATGCTTCTCGTTTCGCCGTTTACTTCTCGGACAATATTGCGATTTGGAAACCGCGCTCGATCTCAAAGGTAACGTGTGTGGTAACGATGATTAATTATGCAGATGAGTGAAACGTGGTACCCTCTTTGTACGGCGTGGCTAATAACGTTTCTGATTCGCGAACGTATATGGATTTCGATATACGTTTCTCTCAGACTTACGCCACGCGAATTTCAATACTTATTGGATACTACATTACTCTCGGAAAGTATCTCAATGTATATTCCCACGAGTATAAGGTGAAGGTATTTTCGTTGCGCGAGAGTAATCTTGTTATAAGTTTCTCATCCAGCTTGAGGGCCAAGATGATTGAAATTGGGTTGGATAAATGCAATAAATTCTGGATATGATTCTCACAATGAAATTTATTGAATAAGTTTATTCAATTGTCAAACTGTTTATAATAATTAACAGGTAGTCGTTAAAGGATTCGCAATTACTGTGACGTTGAAATATCATCTAGTTTTCTATTTCTTATACATAAAAATAGCGTAATACACCGCCGAAGTTAGGTGACGCATAACAAGGAAGTAATTCGCAATTATTACGAACTCCCGCAATCAAATACAGCTGCTGCGCTGCAAGCAATTAGTGCGCGATCATTTTCATGGTATGTCATATCCATTTGTGTATATAATTTCTCTGTGAATGTTCCAATTCTCATCAAAGATATCTCGAAATTTGTCTTTGCTTTAATTTGCAGAAAAGTAATTTACCATTTTTATAGCATAACCTCGTGTAAAATTAGAATCTTTGCGATATTCAAAATTCAAATATCCTTTTTATTATTTTTTGAGTCTGGGGGGAGGAGGGGGTCGTCGAGATGTAGATCAAAGAAAATCTCAGCTTCCTCTTGATACTAGAAGATTATATATAACAGCTGCGTCTGAACATACATCTTGATACATGGTTCCTACAAAACCTTGTCCCACGGCATGATGCTTCGTAATATTTCTTGTAAGATAAGCTACTGATGTAAGATAAGCCACGATGCATGCATCGCCTTCGTATGTGTGATCAGCATTGTTTACGGTTTTCCATTCGTGTGGCATGTAGTTGCAACCGCGCTGAATTGTGAAATACATCTTGTCCTTGATTTAGTATTCAAAGGGATTTAGCTCGAGGACAAAACGCTATCCCGTGTTTATGAACATAGAATAGCAGACCACTTTCGTGGATTAATCGCGACATAAAGATTACATATTTCTATTTTATTATTCCGTTAACTTAGAATATAACATATTGATTGATTTTATAAAATATTTACACATGACTTATAGATGCATCGCGCAATGATCATAAGTAGAATTTTTACAAACGTGAAAATATTGAAGTTTTGCTGAACCAAAAGTTGTTAATAATGTAAGAAATCTATATTACATGTATTTTATAGAAACGAGAGATATATACCTCGAAAAATATATTTTATACAGTTCGCTGATTTTCAAGGAAAGAAAGAACCATTCGAAATATTCTTTACGTAAATCAGAACGTTCCTTAGAAAATTGTAGGTATATAAAAGAGCTTTGACAAATCACGCGTACCCTTTTCTCAATAAATATATTCTGAAATGATTGAAGGATTTTTATAACAACAATAAAGAGCATTGTCATTAAACGCATGGAGAGACGGATGTGCCGGATATTGCTTTCCACATCCATTCTTACGTGTCCAACCATCCTTACAGCGTGTGATTACAACTTCTCTTTCATCCACCTCTCGCGTGTCCTCCCGCACCATAATAGTCTTGAGAGACAGCGGAAAGGGACGACGAAACTCCACAATGTGGAACGTCATCAGCGGGACTTATGAAGGATAAGTTGTTCAAACCCCCGGAAACCGAGTCCTACTTAGGATTTATAGCACCGCGAACTTCTCATCTCTCGGCAAGTGCTGATGCCTGCTCATTTATTTATGCCTTCATGAGGGATTCCGTATATTCTTTTCAACAGAAGCGTGGCGGCTATTAATCTTACGTATATAATGCACAGAATTATTAACGTCATCTTTTTTTTTTGATTGCGCGAAAATATACATGCCTATGATTGATAATAGGAGTATTTAATGAGATAATATAATTCCTTGTTGAAAAACAGAATTCTCTATAAAGATTTTTATCTGCATGTCTCTTTCTCTAGTCTTTGAAGTTTTAATATTAAACATCTTGATAACGGAGCTTCCAAGTCGAGATTCTGTTAAAATAGAGTCTGGAATTCAAAGCGTCGAAGTCAGAGAATTCTGTGTTAAAATAAAAATAGTGTTTTATTTAAGCAGGGTTTTAATGTGCAACGTTATCACGATATTTAATTAACAAAAATTAAGGAGTTGTAAGAGGAATATTGCGTGACGAAATTTCGTTAAGAAAATATTCACTTTTGATCTGATTAAGAAGTCTGTAAATGTTTCATGTGCGATTTTTTAATGCGCTGCATAGATTTTAAAAAGATTATGATTTGCTTCGTTTCACGATCACCCGCGTAATAACGGGAATATGCAAATACAGAAACGAGGATTTGCATCAAGTAAGGCGATGTAATCGCGTTAAAACCGAGTACAAAGCATGTGCTATTGCGAAAAGTACCTCGCAAACGGAATTTCACTATTGTAAGTACGTCCGATACACGCGGAGAATAAGGCTCCTTTAGCCTCATCATATATATACCAACTTGATCCCTAACTCGAATCAAACTCTCCATTGTAATCTCCCCATTGTGAAACTTAGCGTAATATCTCTGCCGGTGACCGAATTGCCTTATCAGTTGAAAATTACGCGATATTACGCGGCATATATGCGTGTTCTACCGTTGCAACAAGTAGTGACCGCAGAAGACAAGTGGATTTAATAAAAATCGATAGGAATTTATTTGGCGACGTTAATGTCTCGGGAATTCTTTTCACAATTACATATCAGAGAAATAAAGAAATGCCAGTTCATAAATTAATTTAAAAAAAAAGTCAGAAAAGGGTTAAAAAAGGCATCATCTTACTTGATGCAAAACCTCGATTCTCAATCAAATATTTGTATTTTATTATAGTGATCGTGAAACGAATCATAATCTTTTTAAAATTTATGCAGCGCGTTGAAAAATTGCATA